CCCCAAAACCCCAAAACCCCAAAACCCCAAAACCCCTTTTTAAAGGATTTTAATTGATATTTTGAAAATGGATGATTTTTATTCAGATTCATTCAACGTAACACAACATTTTAAGAACCACTGCAAGCAATGGTTTCAAGGCCAAAGTGTTGGGTGAGGTGCATCTGTTATTTTATAGAGACCCACAGTCAGATTTAGAGTTACTCAATGCTTGTACAGGTTTCAGTCTCATTTTTAGCGTCAAAGTATCTTAAAAACATACATTCGTTCCAGAAAGAACAGATGGGGCATCTTGATACGTTCTTTGATGAGGTAAGTAGGCATTTTAGGCACCAAAATTCCTCTCAAATAAGCAAAGGTCAAATCTCAGCTTTTTGAAACCCTAAGCATATTTATTCCTGCTGAATCTGAGTTGGATTTTAGGTATCAGATTTCCTCCAAAACAACTCAACAAAGGAGATTCAGGATGGAGATAAAGGCACTGAGCTTTATTTGCCAGAGATTGAAGATGCTTTTAATGGTAAGACAGTCAAGGAATTTTTAGATATCTTCCAGGTTAATAAAGTCATTGACAGACTCAAGAGTATCAAGCAGATAACAGACGAAACGCAGCATTTTGAATCAGAACTGAAAAAGATGGAAGAACTTCTAGAAAATGATGGGTCTATTTATGAAATAGAGCAAGTTTTGATTGCTCTGGTTAGGCAGTAAGCCTTGGTTACCTTTCTCTGGCTAAACTTCGTTTAGGACCTCTGAAAAATGCATTAACTTGCTTCCGAACAATGAAGTTGAAGAATCGAAGAATAGCTCTTTGATGGAAGAGAAAAGAGAGAAGGTTCAGTATTATAAGGAGAAAGTTAAAGCTTATCTAAACCAAAAATTTGATGATATCGAGGCAGAAGGTGATATTACCTTCATCCAAACATCGCTCAGAATTTACAAACTAATGGGCATTGATCAAGAGTTTCTTCACAAGTATATAAGTAAGTTCTAGGATCTGGCAGAATCGTGGTTTGGCTCTAATGATCAGGTTTGGGCGAAATGGGTTTTCCTATAAAGCTTTATCTGAATTCCAGGCAGCTTTTACAAATTCTACATTGGTAACTTTTCGATATAGAAGCAAAAATATTACCAGAGTTTAATACCTGCTTGTATGGCTTAGATGTTAATAAGGACTCAGGAAGGAAAGTAGGGTATTTTGAAGGGCTCCAGAAGTATATATAGAACGAAGAGTAGATATGCTCTGTGACCTTTTTGGAAATAATATTGATTATCTTATTGTAATCTTTGAGCAAATAAGTGAGCGCTTTATTGATACCATCTGTTCTGATTTCTTATCTCATAAGCAAAAGTTTGGGGATATTCTTGACAAGCTCACGGGGATTAATGACATAATGCGTGCTAAGCTGATTAATCAGATTCAAGATTTTGAGATGTCTGATGGGCAAGGTAAGTAAAAAAGTCTTTTCTTTAGGCCCGGACCCTAATGATTTGGTGATTAGAGCACATACGAAGATGTTCCAAAATCTTTGCACTGCATTGTAAAGTTACTTTGAACTTTTTAGGCTTGAGGATTGTACTACAAAGGCAAAGAAACTCATAGTCGAGCCAGTTGAGAGGGAGGACTTTAGGTAAGTTTTAGAGGTCACCTTTAGGATGCACTCTCTTAATAGCAAATATTGGGAGGGATTAGATACTGAGCTAATTGCTCTCACCAACGAAATTATTGAATACGGTAATTATCTAAATCAATAAGTATAGGTTATGGCTTTGGCCTGGAAATATTCTTCAAAGACATCCAAAAGTTTGTTCAAGAAGCTCTTAAAAAGTTAATTGAAGAGATCAAAAAGTCTAGTGAGAAGCATCATGGAAGTTATTCGCTGGAGAAAATTGTAATAAAACAAGCGTCTGTAGCCTCTAAAGAAGAGACTAAGCAGAGCAAGACTAATGACAGTAATTTTACTCTTTTATTCTTAGCCTTGGAACCAACAGATGAGGAGAGAATGATATCTCAGAAAGTGAAAGAGATGAACTCCTCAGAGATCATCCCTGAAAATATTACTAGGATTCATTATATTGAGAAATTCTTGTATTCATGAAAGAAGTATGAGTCAGAGTTGATATCTATCTTGGAAGGGCTGAAGCCTACAGGACTTCATAGCTCTCTTAGCAGTTTTCCTATTTATTTTGACATAAAGGATTGACTGAACTCGAATGATTTCTTTCAGATTTCAAACCTGTATAACCTGAAATCTCAGTTTGAGGTGTCACAGACAACTGATAAGAAGCCAATAGTTTTTGGTAAGGAGGTGGGTCTTCTTCGAGATAAGTGCAAAGATTTTATTGTCAACTCCTTCGCTCTGAAATTTCACTATGAAATATACCATTACGATGCTCTGAGAGTGTGGAGGGACCAGAAATTCGAGGAAGAAGATACCCCAGATTTTTCAATGCCTCCAACTGAGAACATTAGGAAAATCTCTAACTGTTTTATCTCGGTAATTTTGCAATTCGATACACCAGAAATGGAGCAGTTGTCAAACAAGGACCAAATTTATACAGACTTTTTCGCGTTTATTTCACTGCAAGAGGAAGGAAAGGTGAAGAAGAATCTAAGTCAGTTTTATGAGATGATACAGTTCTGGATTGGAATTCTTGGGAACACCACTCTAAAACTACTCAAGCAGAAGATAGACCAGATTGAAGCGCTCTCACCGCAAGGATGCAATCAGCTCAAGACGGATTTGGACCATATATTGAATATTTTATGCAATTTCGATCTTTCTGAAGGTTTGTTGAATTATTTCAGCAGCTGCTTGTTTACGATTGAGTCAAGGAACATCAAGAAGAATCCAAAGGATAAGACTGAAGCGAACCTCGCTTCGATCAATGAAGATAAGGCAGCAATATCTTCTCACTGGAGCTCACAAGGAATCGCTGTTAGTAAGCAGGTGGAGGTCGACCAAAATGTGGTCGATGCTATTACAAGAAAGATCAATAGGTATAAGCAGATGAAAGAGGAAATGGAAGAGTAAGTTTATAATTTTTAGCAATACTTTATGGAGATTCTTTGAGGTAACTGTGCTTATTTTAGTGAAGAGGAAGAATCAGAGGAAGAGAAATAAATTCAGAGGGTTATTATGACTGCCTTCTTTGGTTTGTAAAATTCTGATTATTGATATTTACTATCTTTTTTGTTTGGATTTAGGATGATAAATATACATTTATCTCAATAATAACTAATATTAATGGGGTTTTGGGGTTTTGGGGTTTTGGGGTTTTGGGG